CTGCACCCCTGTAATCCCAGAAAGTGCTCTCCCCACATCCAGCCCTTCCTTCTCAAGCTGTGAATTTGCATCTACAAAATTTGCCCCCAGTGCATCTAGATTGGTGTCTGTGTTGGTATCTCCATTCAATGCAGCATCAGTTTCATGCTGTCTTGCATTCGAAGCCCGAAATCCAGCACTCATTCTACTTGTCTCATAATCTGCCTCACACAGCGTAGTTACAGCGGCGCAAGCAGCAGCTTCTGCAACCTTTACGCCCGCCAACGCTGACAGAAAGGCTGTCTGAGCCATAATTGGGTTGCTCGCATCTGCAAGAGGCGTGAGACGCATTCGTTTACCTAGAGACGGTGTTGTACCATCACCATTACCCTCCATTCCGAATTCGGCATCACCTGCATTGTCCTGCAATGCACTACTAGGCTTGTGATCCAAATTCCCAGAATCCAAATCTCCATTCAATTCCTCACCGAAATTAATCTTGAGAAAATGAGCAACACATTCCTTCTCACTTCTACCAACATGTTGTGCAACCTTCCTCCAATCATCACCATAATGCATGAGGCCTTCTAAGAGATGCAGAGTATCCTTATCAGCCCAGCCATTCCCCATCTCTTCATTGATCTCAACCCGCCTGAAATCTGAAGAACTCACACCAATCTGATAGTTCCCACGAACATAGCACCTTGCACACAGCGTCATATCATACTGTTCCCAACAATTAAATTCAAAACATCAGTTGCAGAAACCATAGCAGCAATATGACACTAACGGATTGCAAGTCAGTCTTTTTTACAAGCAAAATCAAAATTAATCAATTCAATTCCCAATAATTACAACAAATGTTAAATGAATCAATTCAATTCCCAATATATCATGGTAGCAAAAGAATGACATTGGAAAAGGACAGACCTTTTCAGAAACAAAGCAGGCAATACTACAAAGAGACTTGCAGCCATTGCAAGTCCTCTTCTTGGGGCTCTCCTTGTTGGGAGCGGAAGCAGAGTCCTTGGGACCGCCGGAGGGGGATTCAGCGGCGGCCTTGCTGTCCTTGTCCTCCCACCGGAGGGGCTTGTTGAGCGCGGAAGGAGTGTAATTGATCAAACCCCAGGCCTCAAGGAAATCAAAAACCCTCCGAACGGAGCCGACGTCGCCAACGAGAGCCTTGCGGGCCTCGGTGAAGGTGAGCTTTCGAGAAGGGTTGACAGCTCTGGAGTGCTTGACGATGGTGTTGCGGTAGTACTTGTAAAGGCTAGGGTTTTTGGACGGAGAGCGAGAGTCGAAGAACTCCGGGAGGAACCGGACCTCGCAGTGGTGGATATGGTCCGGTGAGAACCAGCTGGAGTAGCTGGGGACGAGGATGACGTTAGCATCGGCGCTCGGGCTCGGTTGGGTTTGACGTGGAGTGGCGGAGCCCGGCGTCTCGGGCTTGACGGAGGTCGGTGAAGGAGCTGGCGGGGGCTTGTCGGAGGAGGTTGCCATGGGCTATAGCCGATCTGAGATTTTGGCAGTGAAAGCACTTCCAGTTTCAGATAACGCGTTTTTTTTTTAAGTTTTCCAGAAACGAGCGTTTCTGCCTGGGGTTTGTCTTGGTGTGTATTATTCTTTCTTGTCAATAATCGTTGGGCCTGGACAAGGCCCACTCAGATACTTACAGTCTGCCCTTCCTTGAGGAGTTGGGCATCTTAATTAGCCCACTAAGGCCGGGGAAGGCCTTGACCCTTGAAAACTTGGGCTTAACCTTGAAATAAAGTACTACTGTTAGGTCATCCATTTGCACTCAAGTTCGAGTCTCTTTTAGTAAGCTCACCTCCTTTCATCCAAGTTCAACTTCCCCTTATTGTAAATTAGACTCACTTAAAGTAGTTTGGTCTTATTATTTACAAGAAAGGGGACTCAAACTTAAGTGCAAAGGGCCGAACTTACTGTCCTAATTTAACTCACGATGAATACTTTAATGTGAAATAAGTGAATTCCTAGTTCATGCAGGAAACTGAATATCTATTTGGGGATGAGAGACGTGCGAAACTGAACCAAATAAATTGTACATGAATAATATTAATTATTGATGTCTCTATGATGATGCCGAATGCAAGCATGGTCTGATAATATACTATGATTTAATTGATGAAACGTCATCGTTCTCTTGTTGCATCCTTGAATTTAAAAATGGCAACAATGTCACTCTTGTATTTGTCAGGCCCAAGCCGTTGGAGGGTTGACTTATACATCAAAGGCCACTGCGAAACCACTTGAAGGACAACATGTTTGTCCTCTTTGGAAGAGAAACTCTCATGGAACGGGGATATTATTTTTTGCTATCTTTGATCAATAACGTAATGACATATATGATAATTTTTTCATTATCGAGAATAACTTTTGCTATCCCCGTTAGTTTTTTGAGTTTTGATCTGTTTTGCCTTTGGCCCCGTCTTCACTCTGTATTGACTCTTTAAAGCTTTTTTTCTTTCTATAATTTAATTTAATGGCAATTATTTATGAGTTTTTATTTTCAAAGATCCCTCAGGCCGGTGGAGGTTTTTGTCTGTTCTATGCATGGCAAGCCTCATGTTTCCTCTTCTTCTTCCTTTGACTTCAGAGCTCACCTCATCAATCATCCAATGACGGCCAGCCTGCATCACCTTTCACTTCCTAAACTATACTTTACTCTTGCGGTGTGCTTGCTTATGTTTGCAAAGCTGGTCTTTAATGACTAATAATACAATCTTATTTCAATTTTATATTTTCAAATTAAGACAAATAATAATACTATGTGTTACGATATAACAAAAATTTATAACTCCAGTAGTTAAACAATTTGTGAATTTGAATAAATTTCAAGATATGAGAGGTGTTGCCACACGTATTTTCGCCTTATAGATCACTATATGGTGTTCACATTCATGTACCTAAGTAAAAAACTCTCTTGGTTTGAAGTGTAAACTACACAATTTTCAATAAGTTGTATGCATCGATTAAGTAAATGCATGAACTGATACTTAAATACCAGCCACAATCATTGCTCTGAATTTCTTGATCATCCAATTGATTGAACCACATGGTTTACGTACACATTACCCCTTTCTGAATCAACCATTCACACCCCAATTGGCATCTGATCCAAAACCAAAGGATTAGATCTTTTTAATTATACTATAACATATAATTCAGTAGTGATCTAGGCTTTCTACTGATGTTCATGCCTTGAGGCACTCTGCATGACAAATTAAATGAACCCTTCTTTTTTAATCATGGAAAATTAAACTGGGTTTTATAATGGAATTGGTTTTAGTTAATTCACACAAAGGAGATGATATTAAAGGCCAGCTCAGTGCCTGCAGTTTTTCTCTCCATTATTTATGTAAACAAACAAACATTAGAAGTGCACATGCTTCTGCTTCATCAGCAAAAATATGACCTCCTCTCTGACCTGACCCTACACCTCCATTACCAACTCTTCAAGGCTCTCTCTATATATCCCACTTAATTAATCTCATCTCAGCTCACATAACCATAACACATTAACTCTCCTCTTCTCTCTCTCTTTCTCTCTCTCTCTCTCTCTCTCTCTTGAAGGAAATGGCTGTTATGATCAGAAAGCCATATGCCTACTCAAAGATAGACAAGGAGGACCCAGAAGAGGTCATTCATCGACGAGCGCAGTTCTTGATCTACAAAGTGTTGCAGCAAGCAGAAACGCGAAGAAGGCCGTTGAATTTGAGGATCAGAATACGAAAGTTGAAGGTGAAGATTGGGAGGAGATTAAAGAAGTTGAGGAAGAGCATGCTGCTAAGTATATCTGCAGCCAGAGTCTGCGTTTATAAGCAAGTTTTTAGTCAACTGAAAACTTGCAAGACTTTGTTTGGCTGCGGGGAGGGAGCCGTTGGCGCCAGTCTTCCAGCTTTGTTCACTTAATTGAACCACTTTTGGTTGTGTTGTGTCTCTTATCGTTTTGAGAAATACCAGGTTGTAATTTTGGTGTCTGATTTTTGCTCACATATAATTTATAAATATAATATGGGATGTTAAATAGTTTGCTTGCTTGATGCTTCTTTTCACATAAACAAGCAATCTCAGCTTGGCTTTAGCTTGAAGAAATTTTGGGTTCAAACATTCGTTCGTACGCTTGGAAATTATTACATGCAAATGAACACGCACTTTATAATTAAAGATAAATAAGGACTCGTTTGTGAGTGATTCTATGAGGGCCAAAATTACTTATATATGGGAAAAAGCACGTCCAGCTTACGGCTTAAGTATAGTTCTACTAATTAGTATTTGGAACCCATCAATATATGGATCTAATCAACATGCTATACTTACTGACCAATAACATGGCTGCCCTGTAACGTATTGAAGTGTTTTTACCTTATTTTTCTGGGGATTTGGCTGGCAGGTTGGAAAGTTATGGGATATAAATTATAGATGTTGTTTCAATTTTCAAAGATATTCTCAGTTTTTGCAAAGAAGTCAACTCCCTCAAGTAATTCCACAATTTATTTCATATATTTTGTTGGGCAGTGGCCAGTGGGTACATATAATTGGCCCAGCTAGACCAACCCATAAATCCAACTAGCCTAATTCCCGTCTGGAAAAGTTCTGGGTTTTGGCTTTAATTATTTACTTAGACTTGACAAACCCATGTTGTAATTAATTAACTTGCCTCGATTAGGTTCTTCAAAGCTGACTAAATTAAGATAATTAATCACAAGCGTCGGCTGAATTCATGCTTGGCACGCTTTGTTTCATTTTCTTACACATATAATATTATCTAAATAAAAATTAATTATGCTAAATCTCCAGCAAGTGTAGTAGCAAGCTCGTTTCATCATTTATGCATGGCACGCCTTTATCTCATTGATTTCCTCCTTCCTTATATTTCATCTCATGCATGATGCATATCATATATGCATGGCAAGAGGTTCAGTTCACGTCAGGCCCTCGGCGGCTCCACCAGATTAATTAACAGGTGTTTCAAGGTGATTGATTAGGACGACAGCATGTTCAGTTCAGCCATGTGGTCTCGGACTTATATTATATCTGTGGATAAGTTTGTGTTCAAATTTAATCAACTTGAGCTAACTCACGAGTATAATTGAGATCACCTCTCGAGCCCGATGCAACAGCTACCTAAACACAATACTTGTACGTACGTAATGTACGTACGAACGTAGCTAGCTTATTAACTTTTGATATTGGTAATCAAAGATCCAATGAGAATACAAACATGAAATCGATCATCTCCTCAGTGAAATATAAAGTTGGGCTGCATGCCAGAAAAAACTACTGGTCTAAATTTGAGCACATCAGCTTTTTAGAAGAGGAGGAGGAGGCCGGTTCTTGTCATCCCATTTTTCCAAACGGTTTATAGCTGTGCCCACCTGAAAATAATTAAGATGCACAAGAGTGTGAATAAACGACACGTCTGGTGAGAAGGACTGGCTTGGACACAACTTCAATCATGTCCATGCCGAGTCATCTTGCTACCGCGATGTGGACGGTTCAAGACTGGTTTCTGACATATAATTACAGTTGGGCCTTATAGGGCTACTAATAAGATTGGGGAAACTTTGGTCTGTTCTGTTCTGCGGTGCCAAATTTAGCATATTCATTGAAGTTAATTACCTCTTTATTCCAATCGGTACGAAACGTTACCCACAGTAAGATGATGGTCTGCATCAATGTTCCTCCTATCATCCCCGTCCAGATCCCCTGTACATTCAAAATCAAAAGATAGTTTTCTCACCTCCCCTTTTTCACCCGACTTTTCTTTTCCAACTCGATGTATGCTAAGTTGGAAGAAGTAGTATTATATAGTGTGAGCTTCTACAATGAAAAGTTTAGAGTGAGGAACTTATTTGAGAGTTTCAATCCCACCATCAAATCATTTCAAATGTTTAAGTCTATTGATTTCCTCACATTTGTTGATGGTGCGATTGAACCCCTCAAATAAACTCCTCATTATAGCCTTTCGTTACATAGTTACCTCAACACCAAAGTCGAACTTAAATCCAAGAAGACAGCCTAATGGGATCCCAACCACGTAATAGCATCCAACATTCACATACGCTACAAATGCTTGCCATCCACATCCAACGGCCACCCCTACATTAATTAATACAATTTAATTAATTATATATATGCTGATCAATTTCACCTATTGGAAATACATAGACTACTATTTTGATGTATAATTATGTTCTCTTGCTGAAATTATTAGTTCAATCAAGCAAAAACAATATATAGACTACTATTTTGAAGTATCATATCGGATAATAAAACTAATCAAACCCCAATATGATCCCGAATTCACTATACCAAAAATTGATGGTATAGCTAGCTAGCGGAGTATATAAGATATTACGTACCGGACAGGACTGGTTGAATCCCGTTAAGAATAAGGGTGACGGCCAAGTAAGGAGTGAGGTGGGAGACTGCATTGGCCACGGTTTCACCGTCGGTGAAGGCGTAGCTGATGACGTGACGTAAGGAGAGCACAACCACAGCTTCCACGATAGCTATCAATAGCGACACAATTGTTACCACTAGAACTGAGAATGCGGCTGACTTTGGATTCCCAGCACCTAGCTCATTGCTTACCCTCACACTGTTACAAAAAATATCATTAACTATATGTTAATTTTATATCCATAACATTACACTTAATTATTTAACAAATACGATCAATTATTTTTATACCTTGCAGCTGCATTAAACCCGACTGAAACCATGAACAGCAATGCAGATATCCCCGTGCTGCATGCATATAAGGCCACGAAACCAACACTAATTACTTATTAATCCACAAATTTATACATTTATACATGTATAAATTAATAAGTGGGTGGAAATATCCCTATTCGTACGTATAATCATACATATACTTGAACATTTAATTTGGTTAATTACGTGTTTATATAAGGAATTAGATTGAACTCTGCATGCACGAGTGAATGATGGCAATAATGGAAAGGAGCTCTTACACTTACACTAAAGGGCCTGGGGCTCTCCTTTACGAGAAAAACTTTCCAGGAAAGGGTATGCCAAAGTAAGCATTTCACGTTAGTATTCCCAACCAATTAACTCTTGACAGCTGTCAATTACTTTTGACACTTAATATTTTTTTTCACGCCAGCTCCGTCGTCCATGTTTCTCAATTAGATTGAACTCTGCATGCACGAGTGAATGATGGCAATAATGGAAAGGAGCTCTTACACTTACACTAAAGGGCCTGGGGTTCTCCTTTACGGGAAAAACTTTCCAGGAAAGGGTATGCCAAAGTAAGCATTCCACGTCAGTATTCCCAACCAATTAACTCTTGACAGCTGTCAATTACTTTTGACACTTAATATTTTTTTTCACGCCTGCTCCGTCGTCCATGTTTCTCTCTGCAACTCAAATCCCTCTTCTCGCCTACTCTCTTTCTCTCTCCCAGCTCTCCCTCTCATCTCTCCCTCTTTTCCCTTGCAACTTTAACACAAGATTTCGAATACTGATTTAAAAAAAATCAATTTTTATCAATAATAATGCAAACCAATCGATATATGCAACTATGACAAAAAATTTCAGAAAGATGAAGCAATAATCTAGCCAATTATTAGAATTCTAAGAATGAAGAAAAAGACAACTTTGAACCCTTTTCAAACGAAATAAATGTTGAGGTGGCTGATATCAGAGCCAGTAAGATGAGAGAGAAAGAGAGGGGATTTGAGTTGCAGGCAAGAGAGGGAGAGAGAAGAAGAGGGATTTGAGTTGCAGAGAAGAACACGGATGACGGAGCAGGCGTGAAAAATAAAAAAATTAAAAGTGTCAAAAGTAATTGACAGCTGTCAGGAGTTAATTAGTCGGGGATACTGACGTGGAACGATAACGTCATTAATTGTCTTGTCTGTCCTTCTGTCTTGTAGGGTTGTACATATTTATTGTAGAAAGCTTTAACTTTTTAAATTTTTTATGGTAAAAGGTAAAGTAGGAAGGAAAGAAAGACCAATAATTGTAACAACTCACTACAGACTAACCGAGTCCTACTGACTCCATTTCATCCAAAAAAAAAATAGACCAATCATTGTGATTAGCTATAAAGGTCAAGCTACAGTAGACAGTGAAAATTAATTAGGCAGGCATCAGATGATTTTTGTTCTTACCATACGGCCAAAGAATTTAACGCGAGCTCAGGGTTCTCGAGCAACCCAGCAATCAACACTAATACCTGAAAATACCATGTCTCCAAGCACAGCATCACAGCCGATGCAGCCGATAGCTTCAGAAAATCCCACAACCCAGAAAACGCTTCCAAACTAAACCCAGTCCACGTCTCCTTGCACCGACTGCTCTTTAGGATGTAAATAAACTGGGCCCCAACTATGACCCACCACGACAAGCTCAGAACCAACGACGCACCTATCAACCCCATGCCCAACTTGTACACAGCCACCCAGCTCAGCACTAAATGCACACCAAGTGTAGCTGCTGATATGTAGGCACTTGGGGCCACAATTCTCTGGGCTTGAAGAAACTTTTGCATCGGGAAGTTGATGGCGTAGGCAAAGATTTGTGGGATGAGGCCGTAGACATAAACGGCGGCTGCTGCAGCCAGCTTTGGTGTCTCACCGAATAAGATCAAGATGGGTTTGGATAGGCAGACGGCAAAAGGTAAAGAATGACAACATAACAATGTGACACGTCAACTCTTAGTTGACAGAGTGAAACATAACAAGAGTTAAGGTTGTGGGACGTGTACCATGAGGCCGTAGGCGAAGAGTTGGACGCCGCTGTTGCCAAGGGAGGCGGCGGCGAGCTCAAGGTTGCCGAGGTGGCCGGCGAAGACACGAGTGGAAAGTGACATGATGTTGTTAACGACATACACCAATACGGCGGGGGCTGCAAGGCGAAAGAGGAGCTTGAGTTCAATCCAAGTGGCCAAGCGGAGTCTCTTGAAGGAGGACAGCTGGGTGTCAGATAGCACCTTCTCAAGTGGAGACTCCAAGCCATTGCCATGGCCGGAGGCTTCGGCTGCTGCTGAGTCGGGGTCGGAGTCTAAGATGGGTTGCCGGAGTTGGTCTTGATCATTGACCATATTGGACTAACAAACTATGGTTATGGCGTTTGTGGAGGCTTTGCCACAATTTGATCTATCCAGCAAATGGGTGCTTTTGTTTTTTTATTTGGACGAAAACGAAATGGGTGCTTGGAAAGAATAATATTGACCGTAAGGCAACGAATTCGTTTTCGACACGATGTGGGGGGAAATAAGTTTATTTGGGCATCAGGCTATAATATATATTATATTGCAATAGATATATGATATGAAGTTGCAAAAATATATAAAGGGAACATATATGATTTATCGATCATCCATTCAGTATTAAGGCGACGGGTCGTCTGTTTAAGCGCATGCATAAGCAAATCCGATTTGTATTTTTGTACTTACTCAACAATATTTATTGGTTGGAAAAAGAAAAACTGAAAATTAGTTCTTACTTTTCAATTGATTTATACTATATTGATTGTGACTTGTCATTGCTGCGTTGCTGGGCACTGACGTGGCCTGGTTGGCGCATTTACTAGTAGCATGGACCAGGGAGCTAATTAATTTAAAAAATCCCACATCATCAGACCCACTAAAAATGAACATGGTTCTGCCAAAACCATAAAGACAAGACAGACGTTTAATGAAAAAGAATTTTGACTTGCACACCCTTCCAACTTTCATATGTTCATTAACACATTACAAATGTACTTGAATTATTTCAGTAAAATATAAAGTTGGGTTGCCCCGATCGAGCAACAACATACTAGAAAAGCTTGTTTAAATTTGAGCACATCAGCTTTTCAGAAGAGGAGGAGGCCGCTTCTTGTCTTCCCATTTTTTCAAACGGTTCCTGGCTATTTCCACCTAAAAACAATTCGATACCTCAAATTATATATGTATATATATACCTCAAAATAATTAAGCTGTGCAAATGATTCAATGTTTCGTGGGTCTGATTTTTCAGAAGAGAAGGACTGACTTAGACTCGACTCCAATGTTTCCGGCATTGGAAGTGAGTCAAGTTCCAACTAGGTTTCTAATTGGCTTTAAGCACAATAAAAGGAATATCAAAAGGCTCGGTTCTCCTATTTAGGAAAACTTTGTTATGCGGTGCCAAATGCACAAGTATTTCTCACACAAGAACATATGCAAGTTGAAATTACCTCTTTGTTCCAGTCCGTACGAAATGTTACCCACAGTAAGATGATAGTCTGCATGAATGTTCCTCCTATCATCCCCGACCAGATCCCCTGCATGTTCAATTCCAATTACTTTTTTCACATATTCAAAACAAAGTTTTCACGCTGTGTTTGTCCTTCTTAACCCAACATTTTCCTGTCCAATTCAGTGGCACGTCACATGCACATGGCATAAAAAAAAAAAAATTATTTTTATTTTTATTTTTATTTTTTGAAAAAAACTCATTGTATGCTAAGTTGAAACAAGTATTATTATATGGTTACCTCAGCACCAAGGTCGAACTTAAATCCAAGAAGACAGCCAATTGGGATCCCAACCACGTAATAGCATCCAACATTCACATACGCCACAAATGCTTGCCATCCACATCCAACGGCCACCCCTACAATTCAATTCATTACCACACACACACATATATATATATATATATATATATA